CACTTCCCACTTACACTATCCATTCCTCTCCTACACTTCCCACTTACACTATCCATTCCTCTCCTACACTTCCCACTTACACTATCCATTCCTCTCCTACACTTCCCACTTACACTATCCATTCCTCTCCTACACTTCCCACTTACACTATCCATTCCTCTCCTACACTTCCCACTTACACTATCCATTCCTCTCCTACACTTCCCACTTACACTATCCATTCCTCTCCTACACTTCCCACTTACACTATCCATTCCTCTCCTACACTTCCCACTTACACTATCCATTCCTCTCCTACACTTCCCACTTACACTATCCATTCCTCTCCTACACTTCCCACTTACACTATCCATTCCTCTCCTACACTTCCCACTTACACTATCCATTCCTCTCCTACACTTCCCACTTACACTATCCATTCCTCTCCTACACTTCCCACTTACACTATCCATTCCTCTCCTACACTTCCCACTTACACTATCCATTCCTCTCCTACACTTCCCACTTACACTATCCATTCCTCTCCTACACTTCCCACTTACACTATCCATTCCTCTCCTACACTTCCCNAACATGACTGCACCACGAACATCGCAGGCGAACACGACTGCACCACGAACATCGCAGGCGAACACGACTGCACCGCGAACATCTCAGGCAAACATGACTGCACCACGAACATCGCAGGCGAACATTAATGACTCTAGAGGTCGGTGAGTTCAATTGGCTGATGTACGCGGTTTACGTGGCCTCTTAATTTGGCCGCACTTGATAACGGCCTTCTTTATTATATGCTATACTATTATAATACAATATGTATTATTATATATTTTTAGATATTATAATATTACATTATTATATATTATAATAATTGTCCTTTCTTTCTATTTTGACTGGACTATGAACTAAAGTCTTTCTCTACTAAAACGCTTTTCTTCGAAATGCAAATTCGTGGATTGAATTAGTTTAGGAAGAAGAATGTAAATTATTGTTGTGCACAAATTAAAAAAATTAGGATTACATGTGGAGCAAATTAAAATACAATGAAGAAAAAACGTGAAATTACTGCGGAATTAAAATACTCATCAAGTTTTTGTATACCTATGGTCTACATGATAGTCGTAAACCACAAGTGAACTGGCAATGCATTCATCAGTATTAAAAAGCATAAGCGGCCGATGGTTGGCCACCGATGAGTCTACCAAAAATTTAGTTAAGGTTCCGCAACCATGTCGGTAATATCCCAGAATATCCAAACCACAACGGAGAGTTAAACTCAGTGGCAATTCACTTTATTGTTGTACCATGAAATTAGTTGATAATTTCGGCTACAGTATAAATAACGTGTAAGGTGAACTGCGGTGACCTCCTCATTGTACGCATGCAATTTGCTATAATACGCTAATTTTTCCTGACGTTTTAAGTGGTGAACTTGGCGGCTGAAAACCGACCTCGGTTTGTATAGCGGCGAGCGAACAGGGAAATTCTAGACAAAATTATTTCCTTGTGCCGTGAATTATCACAAATTTTTGCACGTAAAACTACGTATTCACAGAAAACAATTTGCATTTTCTGACGCCCCTTAATGGCTTAAATGTCCATGCGCATGAAAAAGTGTGAATGGAATAATTTTTAAGTTTTTAAGTTTTTCTAATATTTTTACGATAAATCAGTAACTGGATTACTGGGAAACATCACCTACAGGAATTTTCACACGTGATGATGAAAGCTCGGTTGATACGTGCAATGATGAAAGCTCGGTTGATACGTGCAATGATGAAAGCTCGGTTGATACATGCAATGATGAAAGTTCGGTTTATACGTGTAATGATGAAAGCTCGGTTGACACGTGTAATGATGAAAGCTCGGTTGAATGAGTGATGTCGATTGTGATGTTGATTGCATGTTAATTTCATGGAGGATTTCGATCATTTCCAATATTAAGATACAAGCGCTATCATCCGGCCATTCTTAAACATAATGTATAGAAAAACAAAAATCCATTATTGTTTTTTTTTGCATATATCTTGTATATAAATTTTAACTTGCATGATATTTTGCAAAATTTTACGGAATAACATCTGTCTCAAAAAATTTGAATTCATTATATTTTAATTCAATGAATTCGAAGTCGTAGCTTTAGCAGCTGCTGTGCAGATGTATAGCTAGTCTCTAGATTTGATTAGATAGCCTGTACTTGAATGTTCAGAAACTCTGCTAAACTTTTTTAACTCTGTAGAAGTGTACATATTATTCATTATTTTTAACTATTATTTCATTTACTTATTTTTTTATTTATCTTGAATTATATTTTATTTTTGTTTATTAATTATTCCTTTGCATTTATTTATCGATTTCTTTGTTTAATATGAATACGATTATTATATATATTCTAATAGTATTATTATTATATTACTATTTATTATTATAATACTATCTTTGTTACTATCCAAACAGAGGCAGAACAAACTTGTGAGCTTAATATTTAACTGCTACAGACCCTGAGAAGTTGCAGGCAGTGGACCGGCAACTTGAGTTCCCTGCACAGAAGCTCAAATTATCTACGAATTTCTTAAACGATCCTGAGAGACGAGCTAGTTCCTGCAGCGTGCTGGCCACGCGGAGCAATTTGCAGCGCATTTTTCCTCCTTCTGCAATTTTTGCCTCTCTTCAATTTCATTATTTTTCTCGTTCCGTGACTATGAGACCGGAACAAATTACCGTGCCAGATATAGACACCGGATGTAGAATAGTTCATTAGGTTCTTGCTTGGACTTGCTAGAGAAATGGTAGCGGCCTAGCACACGAAGCTGCTTCCATGCTGAACTGATTTAGAACAGGATCTACGTATAGAAAATAATAACAATATTAATATATATCAAGACAACATTTCTTCTTCTACGTTTTAGAAAATTCCATAAAATATTCTGGTTCAAGTAGCTACATGCTGGATAAACGTAGAACGTACGCAAAAGAAACTAATTCTCTAAAAAATATAACTCAGTACTCACTGTAGTGAGTGACAGAGAGCGCATTTTCTCGTCGACGAAAACTTGAGGTCACGGACAGACGGACGGACAGACAGACAGACGGACATGGCGAGCACAATAGTGCATATTTTCCATAAATGAGAAAATGCGCTAAAAATGAATAGCAAAAATATTCTCTTTCCCGGATGGTATTTCATAATATATTTTGTTTACCGCGATTTAGACACGCTTGTGAATAAGTGCCAGGATGATAATAACGGAATGATTCATAGGAGTGGATTTAGGCGTCGTTAACGTGTTCAAGGCAGTAGAAAATCGTGCGGTCAACATTCATTATATTGCGTCGCTGTAACTTAAAGTTAGATCCAGAATTGTATCACGCTTACAATCTCTTCTCTTTAGCGTTGGTTATGCTTTTTCACCACTTCTAACGTCAACAAGTAAATAATAAAACATGCTTGATAGTCGTAAACTTTTTAGATGAACCTTTTTGCACAAATAGAGTAGCAAGAGAACAATCAATGCAAGAAGAGAGGAGGATTCAGAGCATATGCAATAATAGTTTATTTGCGCTTACTCATTTAAAATAACCGCGTGCAATGGAGGTATAAATATATTGTACACTTTTTCAGAGTTTTTACGTATATTCTATCCTTTCATCAAAAATACAAGGACACCAAATAAATTTAAAGTAAAAGGTAAGAGGCGTCGAGAAGCTCACAGCTCGTATTGGCGTTAATGGAAAACCACATTAAAATGGGCACCTCAAATAAGGGTAGGAAGACGTGTAAGGGGAACTAAGAGGTAGAGTTACACGAATTAAGGTGAGGGAAGTCATTCGAGAAAATTAATGACTTAGGGCATTCTTTTGTTAATGAATTATGCTTGAGAAATGCTCTAAATATTTCGTTCGTAACTTAAGTCATAAGTTTGCTTTAATCGCAAGTTCACCAAGAATTACAACGCAAAGAAAACGTACAGTTCATTCATAATACAATACAGGTCGAGTTCATCGGAAAAAACATGTCTGTTATTTTTATTGAAGCACTGATAGTTGGAAAAGATATTGACCAGTATCAGTATTATTTTAACTGAAGTAAAGACAAAGTTATTGATTACTAATACGATGTATTTCCTTCATTTGCAGTTACTATAAATTAATATATTTAAATATAATTTCATGAAACTTCAAATTCCAGCGCTGGACTAGAGCCTAGATCTATCTTTCTCAAGTCCACGCCAAGCCTATTTATTTCGTGTCCAATATACAGGCTTATACAAGATGCAGGCCTACACAGGCGGGGTGACTGAATTATTTGTGACGGTGTGACTCATGCTCGCCCTGTTTCCACGGCGTAATTTGGCCTTGCCTTTAATTACAGAACGCAGTTAAGAGGGTAAACAGGCCTTCCTTCCCTCAGTTTTGTGGTGACGCTGAGGGAAATGGACGAGGAAAAAGGAGGATGTGAAAGAAAGAGGGAAAAGCACAGGGGAAATGTGAAGGAAATAGGACGGGGAAAAGGAAGAGGAAAAGTGAGGGACAAAAAGGAAGAAGGAAAAATGAAGAGGGAAAAAGGAAGAGCGAAAAAAAGAAGGAAAATGAAGAATAAAAAGCAAAGAGGGAAAAATAACATGAAAAAAAGAAGAGGAAAAAAGAAGAGGAAGAAGGGAGAAGGAAAAAGAGGAGGGAAACAAAGAGAGAAAAAAGAATAAGAAAAAATGAAAAGGGAAAAGGAATAAGGAAATAGAAGGAAGGGAAACGAAGAGGGATAAGTAAGAGCGGTATATAAAAGGAGTAAGAAAGAGGGATAAGTAAAAGGGATAAGAAAGAGGGATAAGGAAGAGGGTAAGTAAAAGGGGTGATTAAAAGGGATAAGAAAGAGGTATAAGGAAGCGGGGTAAGTAAAAGGGGTAAGGAAGAGAGATAAGGAAGAGGGAAAAAGAAGAGGGATATGTAATAATGGTAAGGAAGAGGGGTAAGAAAGAGGATTAAGTAAGAGGGGTAAGCAAGAGGGATAAGGAAGAGGGATAAGGAAGAGAGATAAGGAAGAGGGATAAGCAAGTGTCGCTGCAGAGGTCTGAGCTGATGAGGTGCACCAGCAGCGGCTGAGGGCAGGAGGCGCTGTGTCTGCGGTGCGTCTGGCCTGAAATGAACATCACTAAGGTAGAGGACCAACTGAGAGGTGCTTGTACACTAATTAAAATGATTGGTACTTTGAACAAATAGCAATGCAGTTTTAACTCATGTGTGGGTCATTATGATCCAGTTTGGCCCCGTGCGTACTTTGCTCGTTCAGTGGGTGAGAACGGGAGTCGATATTTGGGCACAATAACCCACTGATTGTTTTGAGTGTAGGTAATGGAGCAAAGCAATATTAGACCATAAATTGAAAAAATTGCTATAATGCAGCATCTCTGAAAAATGGTAGCATACGTATATTTTTGAAGCAAAACAATATAAAAAAATTCTCAATTACTGACCTATGAAGAATCTTCTATTGAATTAATATGAGAGAGAGTTAAGTTCTCCAATTACAACTATGAGTCTTTTATTGATATTAATAAGTATGATTACAATGTAACGAAATATTCCAGCTGCTGACTAAAGGTTGCCATAAACTAAACCTTCATAAACTCGACGACAATCACAGGGAGCGGGTGTAAATAACGACGAGCGTGTAGCTGACAATCTGAGAACCATGCCGGTTTTTTTTGCACGTGCTGACTCGTGCGCTTGCATGCATAGCATTTACACGTAATTTATTATAAGTGTTGGCGTCGCGGAAGATTTGTGGTGACAGAGTAACACGTTATTCGTGTGTGCCAGACTGCCTGTGTTTTACCGAGGTTATTCTTCACTGCAACATCTGGTCTTAACTGTTGTACGTTAAACGCTATCCGACCGGAGAATTGAACTGCTGCTCGGTGCTATGCTCGGCAGGTCATAAAGTTATTAACACTCAAATAAATGAACTGAAATCATTTCTCCAAATATTAAAGAACATTTTTTGTCTTGTGTTGGGTCATCCTCAATCAAATTTGCTTCAAAAAAAAAAGAGTATCATTGCTAAGTCAGCTCACTACCCGTGTTGCTGGTAAAAAAAATGTATTGTTATATTCACAATATGGCCAATATATTTTTTGTGGCTGTAGCAAATTTTTCATACATATATGCGTGAAAACTCTAAACAAAATCTGCATCAATCGGAAAACGTGCCGTTGGTTGTGAAGCGCCACAAGTCACGGACAATTGACTTCGGCACAGACAACCTGTGTGGAGGAAAGCCGCAGTCAATGCATGCAACAATTTTATCGCATGGTGAGCAATCGTCATGTTTGTGTCGTGTGGTGAGCAATCGTCATGTTTTTGTCGTGTGGTGAGCAATCGCCATGTTTGTGTCGTGTGGTGAGCAATCGCCATGTTTGTGTCGTGTGGCGAGCAATCGTCATCTTTGTGTCGTGTGGTGAGCAATCGCCATATTTGTGTCGTGTGGTGAGCACGAATAAAAGGACTGCTAATTAAGTTCAGATAAATTGGTAAAACTACATGAATAGTAGGTAGAAAATTCAAGACTTTGGAGGAAATACGATTTGTAGAAATTGTTTTGTGACAAATATGGAAGCCTCAATATCAATAAAAGGTTAATATAATCGGTAATTTTTCTCCTATATTTTGACATCCAACTCCACGCAGATAGCAACTTCTCAAAATATTTTGAAATTTCTGATTTTGGAAGATAATATTTAAAAAAAAATACTGTAGAAAAGCATAGCTTTAATATACGCGCTATGACTTTGCATATAACAATTATTCTATTTTACTCTCTAAAAATATTTTTTTAAATATGTACAAAAAAATGGATTTATATGTATATATATTGCAACCACACAAACAAATAGTAACAAGAAGACTTGAACAAAATATCAAAAAATAGTAAATGACTTGATATGAAAGCTAACTGAAATAGATGAATTATAATTGTTTACCTGTAGCTTAGAATTATTTATTTATCTCAGAGAAAACCTCCTCTTTGTTATGTTGAGCTTCGTAAGGCCCATGTCCCTAAGGAACGCCCTCGGAGGCTCCATCACGAACTGCAGATGGTCTGGAGGCTCTACGCCCCCGAGAAACCATTCTTTTTCTTCCTGTGTGTCGACCGCGACGTTTTCCAGTATTGTTTTGTGACCGACAACAGTTCGCTGCAGCCTTATTCGCTGAATTTCCAGTCGTATGGTTATAAGTTGTCGTGCGATATGTTGGTCTTGTTCCTTCATGGCCTGTAACTCGTTACGGATCCAGTCAAGGCTCCTCTGAAGGTTTTCTTTTTTCTCTTCCTCTGAGGATACCGAAGATAACACTACCCCTTCTTCTTCTCCGTCGTCGGTACGATCCTCTACCACGCACACCGGGACCGCTGTTTTTTCCTCGCTTTGTGCGTCTAGTAATTTCTTTCGTATTTTAAACTCATTTGTTTCTATAGACGCATTGGGGTTGAATTTAAGTTTGTGTGCCAGCGCCTTGACGTGAGCCATTGAGTCGGGCGAACTCATGGTCACTCGAAGTCGCTGGGCAAACAAATTGTCAATATCTGGAGTTGGACTTTCAGGCGTAGAAGGCGTTGAGTAATCTCTGTAGCTCATATTATTACGAAGTTTTTGAGTGAAATTATCAGAAGAAATTTTCTCCGAGAGAGAACTGGCTGATGGGGATGAATGTAAACTCCCATTCGAATTTTGTCGCAAAGTGAACAGTTGTTCAATGCCTAAAGCAGGGCTATCTGGGGTAGCCGGAAGGGAAAAATCCGCCGGTGATCCCGATGAAAAAGACGAGCAACTTCCTGATTGACAGAGCTTTGCATGCGCAATCTCACCATTGTAGGACCGAGATGAGGAAGTCGAAGTTGAACGTAGCCGTACGATCTGACCGTCTTGAAGAATGATCGATTCGCTCTCTTCGTCGATTTTGCGCAGAAGTTTGCTTCTACTGTCTCGTCGGAGTAATGGCATTTTAAGGTTTAGACTTAGTTTAGTTTTAAAAAGTCTTTTGTCTTTTAGTCTGGCTTTTTCTATTTCTTCTTCAGGTGGAGCTGCCTTGTCCTCACCAGAACGCTCCAAAGTCTCCATATTGATGTTGTCCAAAAAATTTCACCTGAACGCTCCAAAAAATTCACGTGCCCTTGCAATTTAGGGTTTTCGTTCTAGAGTCGCCCACGTTGATGTAATCCGATTGAACAACTTTTCCTCTTAATCAAAGAGTACGAAACTCATGGACCACAATAAAATAGAAATAATAAATTTAAAACTGTGATAATTAACCGTCAAGGACTGTGGTTTCAAAAGTGGCCGCTGCGCAATCGCATCAGAGCAGACACTGAGGTGTCAGAGCGCGGGGTTTACGTAGCGATAGCTGAGGAAGCTACACGAGCGCCGTCCGGTCTTGATAAGACGTTCTAGAACTGATGAAAAATAGGTGACACCCTTACCTCATATTCTCGGCTGTGCTGGCTGTGGTTTTATGTTTGAATTGATAGGTTCTGTGATAATTTACGGTTGACTAAATATATTAGTTCAATAATTAGATATCTATATAGTAGTCATACCGAAAGCGTGCGTAGAAATTCGTAGATATTATGGCTGGGGTTTGAGTTCATTTACTAGAAGTTTGTTTGTCAGAAGCACACGAAGAGAAGATACAGCACGGCACAGAAGACGAGGCACAGCACTGATCAGCACGGTACAGCTTGCTACAGCATATAACCGATCAACGCTGTGCCACAGAGCACGCAATAGGTTCAGCACGGTACAGCACAGTGCAGCATGATACGACACTGCACAGCACATCATAACACTACACAGCACGGTACGGCACGGCACACCTTAACAAAATACAGCACAGCAGAACACAGGACAGCATAGCATAGCACGATACGACACTGCACGATACAACACAGCACGAAACAGCACAGTACGACATAACACGGTACGACACAGCACGATACAGCCACGACACAGCACGACACAGCACGACACAGCACGACACAGCACAACACAGCACGACACAGCACGACAGCACGACACAGCACGGTATGGACAGCACAGCAGTTAGCGTATATCGACGCAGGGTCCGGCAGATTGCTGGTCGTGCTGCTGCATAAATTAGGTCTCGGGTACGGTGGCCCGCAGCGTCTCCTGAACTACGTTCAAAATAACGCATGAAATTCCTAAACTCTGAAAAATTTATGGGTCATATTGTTCAACGCGACACATTATACCGATACCTCATTTTGACAGAGAAAACTGGATCTGGATGACACACACAAGAGCAAGACAACATCTCGTTCATTTTTCTGTGTGAACATGCATTATCATTGAAAATTTAATTCGAGTTCACTTTGCATTGTCCGTCAGTTTTTTAAGAATGAGAGGTAAGTTATTCATTAATGATTGATAAACGTTGCCTTTATTACTTCACAGAATGAATGAGCGATTTCTTAATGCCACATATTCATTGCACAAATTTAATTGCTTCAGCATTTATGTGCGCATGCATTGGATTAGAAATAAAATTCCAAGTAGCCCAAGACCAACGCTGACCAGTGTAGCTGGCAGTACCAGAGGGACCAGCTGCCCAGTGTAGCTG